TTAATAAAATTATTAATTTTTATAAAAATTACCGATTAAAAATCGATAAAAATATTGACCAGGACAAGCCTTTGATTTTACATATAAATTAGTTTTCTATCTATATTTTTATATAAGATTGGACATGTCATTGATAACGCGGCATAAAAATTTGTCATATTTTTTATAAAATTTACTAAAAAATACTTTCATTTCAATTTGCGGGCTATATCTGATTTAACTTATAATATAACTGCGTTCCGCTACCGATAAAGGAAACTGGTTCTCCTTGGTCATAGATAAAGTTCTCGATGTCATAATAAAGTTCTGACTCTCCAAATGGCACGTATATTCGTAATAAATTGTTCTTGCAAAGTTTCTGAAAGGCGAGCTACATAAATAGTCACGCGGACAGTTTCTACCCCACGCGCTCTCTATCCTTTTTCCGTCTTTTGCCTTTTTCCGACGTTCATATTCACCCCCATCATAGACCCCGCTATACTACCCTAAAGATGTCTTTCATTGCACTTCTACGTCGCACAGAATTCGATCGATGTGACTATCTCGCTCACACCCCCGCCGAAAAGTCATTCCTCTTTGCGTTTTCTCCTCTACAAACGGGATCTTCTAGTGCGGACAATACTCGTTTTCCCTCTACCCTTCCTACTACGAAAATCTCTTTTATCCTGCTCCTTCTTAACTTCTTATTTTCGTCTTACGATAACACATCAGCACTGAATTCTACACGCGCAACGTTGTTTCGAACTTTATCCGACTTTTTTCACCAACGCAACGCAAAGAAACTCACGAAACTATATAAAAGCTCAAAAATCCCCATCCTTTTTTCTACATATATGTAGCTATCTAATTTAAACAATTTTAATATCTAATCGCTCACAGCTTGATTTGATCAAGCAGACAAATTTCTTTTAAAGAAAATTATTTTAATCACTTGTCGCTGTTAATTTTTATTATTAACTAAAGAAAATGTATATTTTATTTGCTATATAAATTTCGATATAATTTTGCACATATTTTTTTTTTTTAAATTAGCACATTTTTAGAATTATTATGCAATTAATAAAGTTAATAACTTCTCTTTTTTTATCGATATTTTCAAAGAAAAATAATTTTTAAACTTTTTTCTGTGACAATTAGAAATGATGATTACAAGTAATCAGACCGATCTGTATGAAATGATTGCGCAAACTTTGATTTACAAGCTGGTTAAAAGAAACGATCAATGGTAATAAATCTGGCAAAACACCTGGTACACGGAAAGATAGAAATACTTTCGTGCACCAAGTTCATAGAAGCTGGTTATTCATTTCCGGCTCGAGAGGCTTTATGCACATCCTTCAGTTTGTCGAGGAAAGTTTTGCATGCAAACTGAACTTTCCGCCGGCAATTACTCGAACATCTGAACTGAACGGATAGTTATAAGGCTTCCCGCATTTATGTCCTATCCGACTGAGAATGTATCAGCACAGAATTGCAGCTCATGTTAAAAATCATTCAAGATATTACGCAATTAGTTTTAATTAAATTTTTTGCACAAAAAATGTATCATTTTTTGATAGTATCAAAAAGAAATCATTGTAATATAAAATATAATTTTCTCAGTTATTTTTGTATTATAATTATAATACTGTATATCATAATATGTTTATTATACAATATGTTATTCTATTAATATTACGAAATTTTGTGCTAATAGGACCTAACATTATTAAAAATATTTATAATTTATAACATAAATTATTCATTATATTTTTAATTATGATTAAATGTTTTCTAGAATATTCAATTCTTGTTAAAATCAATATTTATGAAATTTATACATAGTATCAGTAAAAAATTACATTAGCTAAAAAATATTTTCTAATAAAAATAATAAAATAGAAAATAAAAAAATTATATTAGCTGCAAAATAAAAAACTATGTACAGTAATAATGTATATTTTATATTATAACTAATATTACACAAAAAAAGAGAAAGTAAAATTGTGGATGATAAACATATAAAATAAATTTTATTATTATCGAATTCTTAATTATTTTCTAATAAAAATAATATATTTTATTGAAAAATATTTAACAATTCGACAACAATAATTTATTTATATATGTATATGTTTATCATCTATTATTTTATATAATATTAGTCTTCTGTTATGTAATATTAGTTATGACACAAAATATACCTTATTACTATACATAGCTTTTTATTTTTTAACTAACATGGTAAGTTAATATATTTGACATATTTAGTTGGTATTATTTTTCTCGCTGATATTAAATATAAATATATAAATAATACTAGAGATAATTAATTCTTTTGATATTATTGGATACATTGCATGCTTTATGCATAATATATATTATACATGTTTTTTAATTACAAAACTAATTCTAATTAATATTAAAACAGATTCAGTACAAAAACAATTTGTGCAAAATGTCCTATTCCAAGTAAAGCACATTGTTCGTAAAAAAATATTGTCGAAATTTTAAAAAAATATTAAAAAAACATAAAAAAACATTTGTCGCAATTATTAATTTAAAACATTTAAATTGAAATTCTTTATCTTTCCTATGATATTTTTCGATATCACTATTGATGTTATTAATAACTTTTCGATGAAAATTGCATGGACTGATAAAATAAAACTTACTATACGATTTTATTAAAAACCGTTGATACATTTAGAACATTATTTTTAGACCTTTAATTGAAAATAAATATAACGGCTGCGAGATAAAAATATTTCAATACTAGAATAAAAAAATATTGAAACAATTTTGATAAATAATCTTACCTGTCAATCCATTTTCTATGGATGCGTATATCGGGACGGCCTTGATTTTCCTCCCGAAGCAACGCGCCACGAAAGCAATCGAGCGTGTAGTAGAAGCGTAAACATTGAGAGCAGATTCAGCGTTCGAATTACCTCGTTGTGCAGTCATATATATCTCTCTCTTTCCTTTTTTTCTCTCACTTTCTTCTCTGTTTCGTTCTCTCGTACATGCGCGAGTGTCTTCTATCACTGTTTCATTCTTTTCTTTATTGCGTTAACCTGAAATTATATCAAAATTAAGAATTGCAAGGAAGATATCGAATATCAATAAGATAAGTCTCGATCGACCTATCTTCACACATAATGACCCCGCGATTTCCCGCGCTTTACGCTTGGCGCGAGAAATTGGCGCCAAATTAAGGCAGCCATCTTGAATAAAATTCTCGCGATGAAATTGAAAGCCGTTCAATTTTGAGCACTACAGTTGCTATGTCGCGAAATTCATTACGACGATATGATTCATTGAGATGATCGCAGTTATTTGAGAGATGCTTATAATTACTATGCGAAAATACAATCGAAATAATTATATCATTATTGTAGAATAACGACATATGGACATACCTGGCGTGCATCACGCACTTGCGTCGCGCTACGACGAGAAAAGAATGCGAATTGTGCAACGATTTCGATCAATTTCGCGCACGCAGACGTGGATTATCATCGCGATATCGATATATAATACGGACGATTGCACGGCGCATGTACGGCACGCACATGATTTCAGGACTGTCCGCCACTTTTTCGAGACGATTTTTCGTCCGACACTTTACTCGCGATTTTCCGCGCGCAAGATTCACTTTCACGCTAATTATATAGTACTAATCGCGAGGAGTACGAATACTCTGCGATCCACTACGCGACACGTTTCACTCACTACAATATCTAAATTCTATCAAAAATCGCGGCACTGTAATTTCGGAAGGATCATTATGGTCGAACGTGTAAACTATGTATAGTTGAGAGTTTGAGAACACGTAATGTATATAGATTGCGCGCCCCCTATAGTCGATGCAAAAATATACAAAAATGTTAGATAGGGAAACCTATTTGTTAAAAATGGGAACCAATCACGTTCGATTATTATTTTGTGTCAGTGATTTATCGAACGCACCTATTAATACATATATATATATATATTATATATATATATTTTTTTTTTATGACAAAATAATATATTCATACTTCTGAGCGAAAAAGATGGTCTAAATATTATAGTCAGGAATTCAGGAAATATTGCATTTCTATTATGTATATATATTATAATAATATATATATATATAAATAAATAATAAAAATCCAATGTTTCCTGAATTGCTGATTATGATATTTATAGATCATCTTTTTCGCTCAAAAGTATGAATATATATTTTGTCACAAAATTATTACATTGAACATTAGACTTTGAATTCAAAATAATGTGTACGCGATAAGAAAAGATTAATGAGAGAAATTAATTATTGTGGCACTTTTGCTGCGCACGAAAGCTTCCAAATTCAGATGAATTTTTGCATAAAAAATAACATATAATGATTGAACAATCGTGTGTATCTAATGCAACAAATGTTCCTTCATATTTTATATTACATTTATATTGCTCCTTCATATTTGAAGACATTAAATTAATTCTTTACCTCTTTCTTCATTACCTCAATAAATTGCCGTAATAATGTGCACTAGATAATGTCTGTCGGACATTGCGTGACGAAAAGAATCCCTTCAGGCGGGAACTTCAGGTGCATGCGTAAATATGATCACGTGACTAATTTCGACAGACACGTACTCGGATACGGATAGAGCCCTGTACTAAACACATTCACACAAATTATTTAATTATTTAATTATTTTGTTATATCAATATTATATAAAATACATAAAATGTTACATTAAGCGTATACTATTAATATTTCATGCATACATATACAATAATAGAATAGATTAATTTTCTAGAAAAAATGTATTTTGACATAAATAACGATATAATATTTTCTCGCTGCAGATGCAATATTTAAAAAACTTTTATGTCGCTTATCGTTACATTTCTTATTTTTTTCTGCAGGGGTTCCAAAGATACCTCTTACTAAAAATATATACGCGACTGACGACGTTTGCTCGCACTTGCGCTATCGCGCATGCGCGACACTTGTTCCTCGTTCCTCGTTTCTCGTTCCTCGTTTCTCGTTCCTCGTTCCTCTCCAATGTTACGTGGGACGTAGGTAAAATACACATCGAGTTATGCAAAAGGTTATTTGTTGATGGTAGATACATCTCGTGTAGTTTGGAATTATCACGACATATTTTAGGAAAAATGTCTTATCAATTATATAGAAATACTACATTGGGAAACACGCTTCAAGAAAGTCTCGAAGAATTGGTGCAGGTGAATCCGTAGTAATAATAAAGATAGGTTAGGTTTAGCTACCATCTAGACAATACTTTTCTCAATTTATATTAAATAACAACGTTAATTAATTAAGTTTATGATTTATAATATATATGCTGTAGAGTAAAATTTATATATAAAATTGAAAGATAAAATCAAAAAGATTTAAACAATTCTTTTTATGAAATCGAAAAGACTTACCAAAAGATTCTATTTAAAATAATATAGATATTTTTATCAACAATATATATTATTAGAATTTAAAACATTAATTTTATTACATCTTAATAATAATATATATTATGTGTGTGTTTCAGTATGGACAAATAACACCAACACTTGCAAAAAGGTATTGCTAGAATTTGATAAAGCTATTAATCAAGCTCTTGCAACCAGAGTTAAATCAAGACTTACATTTAAGGTAATTTTCTTTATTGCAGTCTTTTCTTTACTTAATTCTTTATTGTATAAGTCTAAAGTTTAAAATTGTTCTGTTACAGGCTAACAAATTAAACACTTATAGGTTTTGTGATAATGTATGGACTTTTATGCTAAATGATGTTGAATTTCGTGAAGTTCAAGAGGTTGCAATGGTAAATAAAGTAAAATTGTTGCATGCGATGGAAAAAGTAAGTATTCATAAATGGACAACTATATAGTGCAAATTGAATATCTTGTAATTAATTATATAATTGTTATAAAAGATTCAAATCAGTTTTAGACTTATGATGTAATTCATTTTTTATTAATTCTTTTTACTATTTGGTTAGTTGATAATTATTTTATATTTCACAATACAAATTTTTTCAGCATTGGATACAGATGGAGCTGCAAGGCGATAATAAATCTTGCATTTTGCACATATAAATGGGATCTTCACTGTAAAAAATATAATTTTCATGGAATATATAGTATACTATAACTATAATAAGGTAAACAAAATACAATAAATATACAGATATATTTCTCATTACTTCCCCGTAAATATTTACAAGTATATTGCTAGCTAGTGTATATTAATAAATACAATTTTAGAAAGAATATTTTTAAATTTATATTAAAGCATTCAAAAAAACATGTTGTTCCTTACATATTTTTTAAGAATATATTAGAATTTAATATTTTTACAAAATATTTAAATTGAAAATATTAAACTATATTAAAAGATATATTATTAAAAATTTTTGGAAATCTTTTTTCTAAAGTCATACTTAGGGGCATTATTATTATTATTATATGATAGAGAAAATTATTTTATAATATCAAAAAACATGTAGATGACAAAAGTAAAAATATGATTATTCATAGTAATTTATTGATAAGCAAATACATTAAGTTTATTATAAGAAGTAATGTACCTATGCTCGTAATTGTAAGTATTGTGGCTTCTCTGACATTTTTATTGTGTGGCATGGAGTTCAATAAATAAAGTACAACTATATTTATAATATATTGACCATCCAGAAAGAAGCAAGGCACAACATTAATAATTGCCAGCCCTGCTGAGAATACCGTGATATATTTGCAAAGTAATGCCATTGATTCGGGCAACTTAGGATAAAGAAAAGAATATTTTGGTACCCAATCTGATACATCAACAGTTCTGTAAATATCTGCTGGATGTCCAAAGTATAGCACATCTTTACCTGCTTTTCTCTTTATTTGTACAATCTGCAATATAAAATTATTTATTTAAAAATTATTTTTAGAGATAGTGATTTTAAAGAATTTTATTTAAACAGTTATACATTTCCTGTTACTATTCACCTTTGTCACATTATCTAAAGAAGGTTTCATACAATGAGTATCTTGAGATAGACACTCGTGACTAGCTTGACAAAAATTTTGTGACTGATTAATCATAGTCCTCACTGGAAGACAAGAATGTGGTGGTAAATGAAGAGGAGCAGCTTGTGGTCCTTCAATATATTCAAAACACAAGCTACCACCCATTTCACTATCACTTGTACAACAATTCACAGCTCCATTTGCTTTCTGTTTAGCCGGTACTGATTCATCAAAATCCTATAATATGATTACATCAGAATTATACATAAAGATATTAGAATTAGAAATTGTTAAATATTATAATATAGGCTATTAAAAAAATATTACAAATGGCACAGATTTTAATTAATGAAATGATTCAAGTTTATATAAAGAGAAAGAATGATAATCTAAATACATTGTATATTACCTGGATAAATGATTGTTTAACACAATAGCCAGGTGTTGAATGTTGCACTGCATGCAGTATACAATCGTACCAATCTTCACTATACCTTATAGGACAATTGTTTAATTTATATATTACATCACGTTCCAAAAGACCAGTTTGTCCTAATACTGGTGAATTCTATAAAAATAATAAAATGGATAAATATGCAAGTAATGATATATTTAGGTAAAATAATATTAAATGATTTAATCTTGTCACTTACTGGTAAAATAGTCTTTACATAAATCCCAGTGCCAAGATTATAAAGCGGTGCCCATAGCCATGTAGAAAATACAAGAATTGCTGCTGCTACTGTAGCAAGAATAATATTGTGCCAAATTCCTGCACATGTAATGCGTAACTGATTTTTCAATGGCAATGCGACTAGTTGTTCATTATTTATATTTACGTAAGCTATTGGAATTATAAAAACAATCAAGATTCCTAAACCATATAGCTGCACATCTTCTCTCGCTGCAGCAAGAGCATGTCCTAATTCATGAACTATACTACATATTGCTAGTGTTGTTGTATAGTAGCCAATTTCATTGAATGGAATATCCACACCTGGTAACTAAAACATTTATAAAATTATGACAATAATATGCATATAAAAGAAAAATATATTAAAAATATAAAAAACTTAAGCTATTATTTAGGCTAAAATAATTTATCATGCATTACATTATAATTTTAATATATCATAACCAACCATGTAAAGTAAAGAAACAATCAACAAAATTGAAATTAAGTTCTATAATTTTATAAAATCTTTTCTATGTTAAAAATTATTGATAAGTATCCTACTCATAAACATAATCTTTATTTTTCTAATATGAGCTTTATTTTTCTGTACCATAGGTTCTATTATAACTCCTGAACTACTATCGCTTGAGGATCCAATTAGCCACAGATTAAATGTCATCTTTAAAATAATGATAGTAGCTATTGGTAAGAGTATAATGCTTATAATGACACCAGCATTGAACCAAGCAGTCCAAAATCTAGAGCGATCCATTCCCCATTTTATAATCTTGCGATTGAAAGCGGTTGTAAACCATTTCACTCTCAAAATATGAATTTCTAAGCCAGTATTCTCCAAAAAATAAATATATGGAAAATGCGAACAAGACTGAAAAATAAAATAAGAGTTAGTCTCACATTTATTCACATTTATAATAAATCTATTTTAGAATAATAGAATGCATATAACAAAAAGCTTTAATGTAGTAATTTTGTAGCATATAAAAATGCTCACTTGTATATATCATAAACATTATTCAATTGTAAATTTTTATATCAAAACTTATGAACATAAAATTAAAGTAGAAATATCATATGAAAATTGCATGATTTACCTTAAAAAATATATCAAAAAAGAATAATGAACCATATATCAGAGTTATTACAATCAATATGCTTAAAATATCCATCTTTCAATTTATTTTCATTTAGATTTCAAATGCCGGTTTCTCTCATAACTACATCACTGTATATTTTGCTAAAATTAATTGAATGTCACGCACACAACAATGCCTAACCATGGAAGAATATTCGATGATCCATATCCCTAGACCATGTTGCAAACTGATATTATTTTCATAACAATCAACAATGTAATTTCAACAATTGACATTCAATATTACGTTATTATTCAATATTTTGCTACAGATGTTGCAAATTGTCTCTTTTTAGCAAATTATTTTTAGCAAACTTGGTAAACATCAGAAACCATATTTGACAGTTCAATCAGTCTACTCCGATTGCACGAATGCATCTGTCATTGCACTTTATAACCTCTGTATAAAAATTAAGAAAAAAAATGATTTCTTCAACATCTCTTCATCTCTTGAATGCAAAATATTTGTTTAACATTTCTTTTAGCTAAAGTGTGTAAAGACAATTTGCACATAGGGAATTTCGTAGTTTAGCACCAGTAGAGACACAACTAAAAGCGCATACCTTAGATTTATTTTTATGCATATTTACAAGTTACAAGCTAATAGTTGTCACTTTCACGTGTTTATTACACTGATCATACAAAGTTGTTAGTAACTAAAAAATTACATTTATATATATCTTAATTGCGTTTTACATTTATATACAACACGAAATATTTTTTATTTACACATAACATGTCAGATTTTATCGAGAATCAAGTTCAATTATTGCTTGCCGGACAAGCATTAGAAAATGATGACATATGTAATGTACATACTTTGGCGAGTGACACCATAGGTATGTCAAATTATTTATATGATAATTATCAGAAAATGTAAAATTTTTAATCTTTTTTTTCACAAAAAAAAAGAAAGCATGTTTTAATACAATTAATCTAATATATTTTATAGGTGCAAAATCAGGTCAACTAACAGGATATGTTCCAATTTGCTTAAAAACAGTGACATACATAGTTGCTGCTGTTGTTATAAATGATCAAGGTGAAGTTTTAATGATGCAAGAAGCGAAAGCTTCTTGTTCCGGAAAATGGTACTTACCAGCTGGTAGAGTGGAGAAGAATGAAAACCTTATAAGTGCTGTGAAAAGGGAAGTTTTGGAAGAGACAGGTCTAATAATAGCACCAACATCTCTAATATTGGTAGAATGTGCAAACGGTACATGGTTTCGCTTTGTATTTACTGGAGATATAGTTGGCGGTGTTCTAAAAACACCTGATCAGGCAAATGAGGAATCATTACAGGCATGTTGGACACGAAATATAAATGATTTGCCACTAAGGTCTAATGATATCATATATCTCTTAGACAGAGGCAGAAGTTATGTTTCAAATAAATCTACTTCTCAACATCCCTATTTAATGCCTGTGATTAAACCGCATACAAAATTATTGTTGAGAGTAGTAGTCACATCTAAAAAAAGGGCAACGTAAGTGAAATACATATAAGTTATATTTAATAAAATTATCATTATAATTATATAATTATATTTAAATTAATATATACAAGATAAAAAATAAATTAATAAATTTTATCAAAATAGGAATAGATTACATGTGCTTATATCTGACACTGAACAATATAATCCACCAATTTGTGAAATTAATCCAAATCGTAATTTACTGTCTACTTTGCATAATTTTATGACCGTGAGTATACATATATTGAAATTGAGTTTATATTGTGTATGTAAAAATTTTTTTAAATTTATTTTTACTATAAAAAAACTTAAATATATATGTTCTTCTCTAGATATTATTTTTCTAAAGAAAAAGTAAATATATATTTTTGTTAAAAAATAAATTTAAAAATAAATATATATTTTAAAAAATTTCGCTATATATACATATATAAATATATGTTCATGCATTTATTACATTTTTGTAGGAAATATTCGGAAGCGATGTAGCACCACATAAGCCACATGGTTTGTTGTCTGTAGAATTTAGTGGTGGACAAGGAGGAGATGGTCTATGCTTGACATTATTGGTATCCTTCAAATTGCCTTTGGAAGACGTACCTATAATTGGAAAATATATTTGGCATGAACTTTCTGAAAATGTAGCAGAAGCTCTTTCAGCACGTCTACCACGAAACATGACTGTTCCTTTAAAAGTCGTACGTTAATTGCATAACTGTTTCAGTAATTATATTTATTTAATGCAAATAAGCAGTATAGTAAAGAGGGCTCAAAGAGGAAGATCTTTTTATAAAATAATATTTATGATGTTAACATCGTAGTTACCCTAGTCTATACCAATGACTTTATAACAGGTATTAAAATCCAGTAATCTACATTCCATAGTTTTATCTAATATAAATAAATTAATAATTTTATAATAGGGCACTAAAAAATATTAAATCTCTTATAGTAATATTAGAATCATACAACATATACACACATAACAAAACATAACTTCTTTTAAAAGTATTAATTTTTATGCTCGAGATTATACATGAAATTTTATATATAATGTTAGAATATCTCATAATGTATATTAACAATATAGATTATATTTGAAACTTCGAATAATAAAATATCATTTAAATTGAATTGTATATAATAAAAAAAGAAGAAATTTTTATATAAAAGACACGTGCACTAGTTTGTTTAAAAATTTATTATTATATATTATTACATAAAAAGTATTTAAAATATGTTAAATAAGATAAAATTTTATGTTCGCGCGCGCGATCAAGAGTTACATAGTTTTTAACACACTTATCTCATCTTGCAAACTATCATTCAACCAATATCTACAATATGAAATATGATGTAAAAGAATGAAAAGTAGAAATATCATTTATTGAATTAAATTCTATATAATAATAAAAGAAAAATAAATACGTAAAAATAGCGCGATAACAAAAAATGTAGTATTTTAACAAATACATGTATCATTAATTTCTTACATGTAAAATTGCACATATGCAAAACACGAGCTCAAAACAAGATTCATACAAACTGCACTATTTATTTTTATTATTTTTATATGCATTATCTTTGTATAATCAAAAGGTGTTGATAATAATTGCAATAATTTGCTCATTTAACTCAAAAGCGAATTAGAAAATCTAAAATTGTCGTTTATAAAGTACTTATATAAATATATTATTGAACAAGAAAAGTAAGAAAAATATGTTAATAATTTATATAAATAAATTTTTTTACGAAAATAAATGTTTCCGTTATCTTGTCAGATCCTATCTTAATAATTCAAAAGCATCACAGATTACATAATCATATCCCACTGATCTATTATATAAATAAGTCTATAAAATTTTTAAAAGTGAATTTTTTATATTACTATATAATAATGTTACATTTAAAACTCACAATACAGGAAGACTATTATGTAACTGCACAAAGGTGTATAAACAAAGGTAACTTGTTACCTTTTTCAGTAAAAAATTACTCATTTACAAGTACAGCATTAAAAAAATGCTATAAAGATTTAATTATTTGTAAAATTTCAAAATATATTGAATAGGTGAATCATGTAATCTGTTACAAATCAAAATCTGTTAATCAAAAAGAATTTCTTGATATTTTGTTTGATATACATTGTTATTTAAATATATATATTATAATAAAAAGTTCAAAATAATTTTATGACCTTAAAAAGCAACTTTGCTTTAAAGAAATTATATACATTTATAATAATTATATTATAAATTATAAAATTGCAGATTTGTTCTTCATCAAACTTAAGAATTTGTTAAATATCTTAACTAGTTATTAAAATATTAGTTTGTAACAAATTATGTGATTCAAATTATACACTCGTGTATAATAATATTAATTTTATAGAATTTCAATTTCTGGAAGTAAATGTTAATCATCCTACAGTGTTTAATACAGTGTCTTCTGTACTTTCATTTTTATAGGAACCACATTATTAGTATTATGTATAGATTTAATGTTATCATTGAGCGTTAAAGATACATTATTAAAATAATTCGAAGAAGCAGTATTGTTAACATCTACCTCAGAATGTAATATATGTTTTTGATCATTTTCACAGTCGATTGCATTTGTGTTTGTATTTACAGGATGTTTTTTCATATGAGTTGTCAAATTACCGCTATGATAGAATTCCTTCCCACAGATTTTACATTGAAATGGTTTAATTCCGGAATGTATCCTTTCATGTATCGATAAATTGCCACTATGCCTAAATTCTTTACCACACACATTACATTTGTAAGGTTTCACCCCTGAATGAGTTCTCAAATGAGTGGAGAGATTACCACTATGACTAAACATTTTCCGCATATCTGACAACCATATGGTCGTTCACCAGAATGTGTTCTCATATGGATAGCCAAATTTCCACTGTGTGTAAAACACTTTTCACATTGATTACATTTGTATGGTCGTTCCCCATTATGAGTTCTCATATGTATAAATAAATTGCTCTTGTGTCCAAACTCTTTAAAGCAAATCTCACATTGACATTTTAATTTCTTCCCCATACCAGACTCTGTGGAACTTTTTGATGGTCTCCCAAGACGATTGTTTTTACAATGATTGATGGTTGTCCTGCCAGTGTCTGATTAATATTTCCTACATTTTGTAGATCTTGTGATAGCTGTGACTGCTTATTCTCTTGTACTATGACAACACTGTTTGTACTCTGGTGACATTGATTATTTGTCTGCATTGTCTGATTGTTGCCATCTTCTTGATTAACTTGATAGAATATATTATTTTGCGAATAATCTTTCATATATGGTAAATTGCCAGCATCCTAGAATATAAAATTAAATATATATAATAAAGGTGCTAGTTACTTATATAATAATGTATAGATACTTGCCTCTGCTTGATACATAGTTTGTTGATCATGAATTTCATTTTTTGCAGATGTCTCATTCGATAGTTGTGTTTGCTCCCAAAACTGAGATAACTGGCGATGTTTATATTCAACATCTTGATTGATAAAAGGATATATGGAATTATCTGAAGTTCTAATTCTATTATTGGTATTTACATCTTCTACAGTTGTACATTCATGTTTTATTTGTATAGGACTAAACATCTGTAAATATTTATATGCTTTCAAAAAATGATAGTAAATAGCACACATTTGTATTGATGCATGATAAAAATGTCACATAAAATTTGGATTTTTTCTTAATTATAATTTGGTGTATTGTTTAAATAATTTTATATATCATTACACACATAATTTGCGCATACTAACATTTTTATTTAAAGAATTCTCAACAGGAATCTCGATCAGGAAATCACCAGTTGCGAATATTCGTAGTTTCGGTGAAATTCACTAATAAAAGTGTCATAATTGACACATATCTTATTATATACACGCAATAAATGCAACAAAAACTATTTGTGTATCCACATTACTCCGACAAGGATTTTCAATCCCTTTGTTCCAAAGTCATTTTTGTTAAATATCTATGAACGCCATCTATACATATATCAGAGAAAACAGAAAGAAGGCTGATATCCATTATTTCTGTGGAATCAGCCTTTCAGAAATTGGTAAAATCATCTACAAAAATATATATTCTATGGTTGATGAGCAAAACGCGCGGCAATAAAGTAACCGTCAAATCGACATAAACATTATTAATTACGAACTAATTATTGACAGAATGACATCCACTGATGAACAACATGTTAATCTACCATGGTTAGTATAATGATTAAGCTGTCACTGAGTCTCTGGACTGAAAATCTTTGTTATATTCTAGGGTCGAGAAATATCGTCCCAAAAATTGGACGAACTTATTTCTCACGAAACAATAATAAAAACGAGTAAGTAAATATACATCGAAATGTACATACTTTATTAACTAAATTATTACAATTATTAAAGTTGAATTTGTCTGTTATACAGTAAACAAATTCATCGACGAAAATCAACTGCCACATCTGCTTCTTTATGGACCACCTGGAACAGGAAAAACCAGCACTATACTAGCATGTGCCCGTAAACTTTACACCCCAGCACAATTCAATTCAATGGTTGTATATTTATCATTAAGTAATCTTGTTTTCTTTATTCACATGTACTAATTATTTGTTACACTTTAGGTACTGGAATTAAATGCTTCTGATGACAGAGGCATAGGTATTGTGCGAGGTCAAATTTTGAGTTTTGCCAGTACAGGCACTATGTATAAATCTGCGTTTAAGTTAATTATTTTGGATGAAGCAGATGCCATGACAATTGATGCTCAAAATGCACTGAGAAGAAGTAAGTTGTTTTCAATTTTTATATATTGTTAGACTTCCAATTCTTTATTTTATTCTCAATTCTTTCATTTTATGTTATTTCTAGTTATTGAAAAATATACAGATAATGTACGTTTTTGCATCATATGCAATTACCTTAGTAAGATCATTCCGGCTTTACAGTCTCGTTGTACCAGGTTTAGATTTCTGCCTCTTGCAGCAGAACAGATAATGCCAAGATTAAATCATGTTATTGATGCAGAGAAGTAAGCAAAATTTTATTTTAAATTATCAATTCATAATTTGTTCTACATATCTTATTTTCTAATAAAAATTGTATAGCTTAAATGTTACAGAGGATGGAAAGGAAGCATTAATGACATTAAGTGGTGGTGATATGAGAAAAGTAATAAGTGTACTTCAAAGTACATGGTTTGCTTATGGTATAGTAAATCAAGAGAATGTATATAACTGTGTTGGACATCCGTTACCAAGTGATATTCATGCTATTATAAATTGGTTGCTTAATGAACCTTATGATACATGTTACAAGAGTATCCTTTTATAATTAATATAAATCTTATAAAATAATTAAATAATAATTTTTTCTCATAAATTTCAAAATTATATAATCTTTAATATATATTATTAAGAAATTCAAGAGCTGAAGTTGAACAAAGGACTTGCATTGCAAGATATATTGACGGAAATTCATTTATGTGTAGTTAAAAGTATGTATGCTTTGTTGCTTTAATACTATGCTTTATGTACGTAGATCAAATATTTATAATTATAAATTTTTTCAGTCGATTTTCCCAATTCGATATTTATCGATTTATTGTGCAAAATGGCAGAAATAGAGAAAAGGCTGGCTTCTGGATGTCGTGATATAATTCAAATAAATTCGCTCATATCTACATTCTACAAAGTTCGTGATATCGAAACGTGAAATCTTCTATACGGGTATAATTAAAATTTCTTAATTATAATATACA